CGCTCCACGCGCTGCATGTGCCTGCTGAGTTCGCGTGGCTGCTGAGCCAGGCGGCGAAGCACCTTGGTGGTGCGAAGCTGCGTGGAGTCCTCCTGCTGCAAGCTCAGGGCGTCCTTTGCCAGCGCTGCGCGAACCCGTCTCAAGTGCTGCGCCCGCCGTGCTGCTGTTGCCCAGGCTGCGCCTGGCACGACGGCGCGCAAGCTTCCAAGCCACCTGCTCCTCAACCAGCTCAGGGGCCTCAGCTCGACCAAACTGCGCTTGCCTCGACCGCCCAACCAGATCCTGTCGATTGGCAAACTCCTGCTCCACCCCTTCCAAAACCAAGTCCCAGGCTCCGACCAGTTGCTGCACATTGCGGGCGGCCCGCGCCGTCTGTAGCGCTGAACTCCAGTCCGCTGGAAAGCGCGCGCAACCAGGTTTAGCTTCTTGAGGGGAGGCTCTCGGCTGCTTCAATACGCGGCGGTCCAGCGGCAACCGACCTTTGCGTAGGAAAAAAACGGACTGGCTGATGCGGCCATAGCGTTGAATCAATTTGCATCTCTACCGTATACTCAGCCGCCTGAACGAACGATCCTGTGTGTTTTGCCGTGCTCCTGCACGTTCTGCCGTGCTTCTGCGCGTTGGGCTGCCGTGTTCCTGCCCATTGTCAAAAGATGGCGCAGGCGAAAACCTCAGCTTTAACACGCATGGTCTTAAACAAGCCTTTTCAACATCTCATGTGTGCGAGGATGTCTCAGGCGATACCCCACTTTCCGCACGTTTGTTAAATTCGCGGCTTCACTTTCTGGTGGATGTCTCAGGCGAAATCGAAATGCGTTGTCAGGTGAAAGACGGCGCTGCCAACAACTCATGGATTCAGGGTGTATCGAGCGACGTGCGCAGCCTGAGGAATCTCGAGGGCGCGCTTGGGGTCATATTCGGGCTCGGTTTGGGCTCGTTTGGGGCAGCTTGGATGCCATCAAAAACTATGCCAATGCGATGTCACCCACATCTCTTGTTCGAGGGTGTCCCCAGCGAAACCGTCATTGTTAGAAGGCTGGCTTGGGCCGTCTGGAAGCCTGTTCAAGAGCGATCCCAAGACGATGCTAGAACAGCAGTTTTCAAACCGATGCTGCTGCATGTTTTCGTTATTCGAGGATGTCCCTAGCAAAATCGTCATGTTCGGCGGTCATCAGGGCGTTCTTGGAGCCGTAGTGAGGTACCAGTTGGGCATCATCTGAAGTACGTCAAGAGCGATGTCAAGACGATGATGAGAACATCTCATTTGGTTGAAGATGCCCCCAATGAGATGCAAATGTTCGGCCGTGCTTTTTGTTTCTGGTCCGCCGTGATGCCGCTCATGTTCTGGGGACGTCCCTCGCGAAAACGTAGTGTTCAGCATTAGAGGCAGTAATACACATCCGCCGACACCTCATTTTGGCTAGGATGCCTCAGGCGAAACACACAGATTTACAAAATAATGAATTTCGCGGATCCCGGTTGTTTCGGGGATGCTGCAAGCAACACGCGCGTGCTTTGTTAAACGCGATGTCGCTAAGATCTCAATTGTGTGAGGATGTCTCAAACGAAATCGCCGTTCTGGGCTATCCGCTAACGCTCGTTCCCGTTCAACCCGACACCCCTGGCAATCAGAGATAATTAGATATGTTGCAAAATCAGACGCAACGTCCAACCCGCCTCTCGCACATCGAAGACGCTTCCCGTCATCCGCTAAAACAGAGAATCCCGTGCGATCCGCCACCCCCTATTAGTAAAAGGTAATTAGATATGTTGCAAATTGGGCCACGACGTCCAACTCGCTTCTCGTACCTCGAAGACGCTACCCTTCATTCGCCAAATGCGAAGACCCTGCGCCCACAAATCCGTCATCGCAACGCCCGGCACACCGCGCAGTCGCTCTCTAGTAGACACTATCATCATCCAGCTGCGGCTTGGGAGGATGTTCTGGAGCGCTCACCCATGGGCGCAGGCGATCAGTACTGTTGCTGCCGATGTTGGTCCTCCTCCTGCTGGTCCTCCTCCTCCTCCTCCTCCTCATCATCATCAGCAGCAGCATCACCATAATCATCACCATCATCATCATCATCATCATCAGCATCATCATCATCATCATCATCATCATCATCATCATCATCATAATCATTATCATCAGCATCATCATCATCATCATCATCATCATCATCATCATCATCAGTATCATCATCATCATCATCATCATCATCATCATCATCATCACCATCATCATCATCCTCATCCTCATCATCCTCATCCTCATCCTCATCATCATCATGATCATCATGATCATCATCATCATCGTCATCATCATCATCAGCATCATCAGCATCATCAGCATCATCAGCATCAGCATCAGCATCAGCATCAGCATCAGCATCAGCATCAGCATCAGCATCAGCATCCTCCTTCTCCTCCTCCTCAACCTCCTCCTCCTCCTCCTCCTCCCCCTCCTCATCCCCCTCCTCCTCATCCTCCTCCTCCTCGTCCTCCTCCTCCCTCCTCACCATCAGTATCACCACCATTGACATCATCATCATCATCATCATCATCATCATCATCATCATCATCGTCACCAGCATCACCACCATCATCATCATCATCAGCATCATCATCATCATCATCACCATCACCATCGTCATCACCATCGTCATCATCAGCATCAGCATCATCCTCATCATCATCATAGTCATTATCATCATCATCATCATCATCATCATCATCATCACCATCATCACCATAATCATCAGCATCATCATCGTCGTCAGCATCATCATCATCATCAGCATCATCATACTCAGCATCAGCATCATCAACATTATCATCATCATCATCACCAGCATCAGCATCAGCATCATCATGATCAGCATCAACATCAGCATCAGCATCAGCATCAGCATCAGCATCATCGTAGTCATCAGCATCGTTAGCATCGTCGTCATCAGCATCGTCATCATCAACATCAACATCATCAGCATCACCATTGCCATCATCATCATCAGCATCATCATCAGTAGCATCATCCTCAGCATCGTCATCACCATATTCATCAGCATCATCAGCATCAGCATCATCATCAGCAGCATCACCATAATCATCACCAGTACCATCACCAGCATCATAAGCACCATTATCACCACCATGAATCAGCATCATAATCATCATCTTCATCAGCATCGCCATCATCATCATTGTCATCATCTTCATCATTATCATCATCACCAGCATCACCATCACCATTAGTATCATCATCACCTCTCAGAAGTATTATCATCAGCAGCATCATTCGCATCAGCACCATTTCGTCATCATTATCACCAGCAGCAGCATCATCAGCAGCATCATCGTCATCATCGTGTTCTTGGTCCTCCGTACTTGAACGTTGTCGGTCCCTCCCCCCTCTCCGGGAAGAACAAAGTCCTACTCCTCCTCCGTTTTTCCTCCTCTTTCTTCCCCTCCTCATCGTCCTCCTCCTACTCCTCCTCCTCCTCTTCCTCCTCCCCGCTCTCCCTCCTCCTCCTCCCTCTTCTCCTCCTCCTCCTCCTCCTCCTCCACTTGCTCCTCCTTCCTCACGCATCTCTCCTCTCTCAAGACCGACCAGTGCATCTTCCTGCTCTCCTCTCCTTTTCTCTCTCCTCTCTCGGGCGGGGCCGCACGCACGAAACTGACCGTGTGCAGCTCGGCGGCGAGCTCAAGAGGGAAGTCCGAGGAGGCGGGCCTTCTCAAAGGCTCGAAAGGCCTCCAGCCTCCAGAGACAGGGGACCACATGCGAACCCTACCCCTACCCCACCACGATTTCTGAGGGAGAGGGTGTCACTTCGCTCGGGAGCTCTCGAACGAAGTGAACCCCATCCTCCCCCTCAGAAATCGTGGGGGGTAGGGGTAGGGATAGGGTTCGAATGTGGCCCCCCGAGAGAAGTGTTCCGAGGGCCTCCTCCCAAGATGGCGACGGCAATTCTCATAAGGCCAGGAGTGCTTTCGGGTGGCCTCGCCGCCCTCTGAGGGGGCCTGCTCCCTCTCGCCTCCCCCCTGGGCTCCGCCGAGCAACGACCACCCGAGACCCCCCCACGTGGCGCTCTTTTCCCGACGTGGACCCCCCGAGAGGAAGAGGCCGCCTGGGCCCGCTTTCCCCGGGGCCGGCCTTCCGTGCCCCGAGGCCTTCTGCGACGGCCCGGGGGGGCCCTGCCGAGAAAAGGGCGCCCCCCCCCCCCCGCCGTCGTGCCTTGTCACGACGCGGGGGGCGATGAGTGCAGAAAGATACACGTTTTGCCATCCAGCGAAGCCCCGTGGCAGGCAGAGAGGCAAGGAAAAAGGAGTGAAGGGAGGAGGAAGGGGGGGGGAAACACGCGGCGCCACGTCGCGCCCTGCGCTCCCGGAGCGACTCCTGGGGCAGATGAACTGCAAATAGGACAAAAGTGCTCTTCTCGGGCCCTACAGGCCCGCCCGTGGGGCCCGAAAGGGCCCCTTCAGGGGCCCTGAAGGGCCCCCTCTTCTGAAGCCCTCGCTGCACGCATCCATCGCCCCCACATCTACGCGACGCCCAAGCGACGCGAGGAGGTTGGGCTTCCGGGTCGTAACTCGGGTCTCTGGCGGGCGGTCGGGTCGATCCGGGCAAGCCCAGCGCACCCTCGGCGAGGCACGGCTGCAGGGGAGAGGCGAGGCTGGAAATCCTCCACAAACCGACGAAACCATCCGAAAATGGCCTAAATTCTCCCGCCGTGACGTCTCTCTGCACGCCCGAAATGAATACGGAAAAATGGGCACGACGCCCAACAACATGTGCTGTCAAAAACCGACAGCGGCCGCTGTTGGGCAAGCGGCCTTCTGTCTCAAATAGACAATGCCCGCGGAAGCAGCGACAGCAAGTCCGGTTGAACATGAACAAGAACTGCTGTCGGTGTTCGCACCTGTCCTTTCCGTACCCAACTCGACTGTTCCGAATTTGGGTTATCCCGCTTGCTCTCCTCGCACCACCCCGCCGACCGCGCCTTTCCAACGTTGCCGGCCCTGCAGCGCGCGGTGAGGCAGTAGTTGAGCAGCTTGACCTCTCCACTCGGGAGGGAGCGTGACGGCGAATCCGCCACCGTGACCTTGACGCGCAAGTTGGAGTGTCCTCAGGTCCCTTGTTGGATCCCCTGGAGCCTCAGTCCCAAGACGAAGGCAAAATCGAAACAAAATCAGACCGGCGTAAATCCCGGGACCGGCGCGGGACCCGGGACCCGGAACCCGGGACCGGCGCGGGACTCGGGACCATGGACTCCGAACCGGCGCCGGACCCGGGACCCGCGACCCGGTACTGGCGCGGGACCCGAAACCCGGGACCGGCGCAGGACGTGAGACCCAGGACCCGGGACCAGCGCGAGACCTGGGACCCAGGACCGGCGCAGAACCCGGGACCCGGGACCGGCGCAGGACTCAGGACCCGGGACCGGGGGCTCGGGACCGGAGCGTAACCCAGGACCTGGGACCCGGGACCGGCGCGGAACCCGGGGCCCGCGACCGGCTCGGGACCCGGGACCCGAAACCCGGGACCGGCGCGGGACCCGGGACCCGGGACCGGCGCGAGACCCGGGAAGCGGGACCGGCGCGAAACCCGGCGCGCCGGTCCGGGTCCAGGATCCTGCGCCGGCCCCGGGTCCTGGGACCGATAAACCTCGCGCGCCCCTCTTGAGACTCTCCTGAAGCCCATTTTGGTTTCTCTGGGACCCCTCTTGGAACCCTCGTAAGGCCCGGTTGGAAATCTCTTGGAGCCAGAAGAGCCGACCCAGACAGTGTGAGAGAGCTCTCGAGGGGCACCAGGAGTGGGACAAGAGAACACCAAGAGGGCTCCAGGAGGAGCGCGCCAGGTCTCATCGAGAACAGCGGTTCGATGAGACCTGGGCCTCCTTCTCTTAGAGCCCTCTTCAGGCTATCTTGAAGCCCCTTAAGGGCTCTCTATTAGCCCCTAGACGGGGCCAGGACAGGGTGGGCCGGTCCTCGAGGAGCCCCGGAGGGAGCCAAGATGGCCCCAAGAGGGCTCCAAGAGGAGCGCGATAGGTCTCATCGAAAACGGCTGTTCGATGAGACCCATAGCGCACCTCTTGGAGCCTTCTTGGGGCCCTTTTGGAGCTCTCTGGTGGCTCTCTTGGAGTCCCAGTCCGGAAAGCGCACGAGAAGGAGGAAGAGAAAGAAGAAGATGCTACTACTACTACTACTACTACTACTACTACTACTACTACTACTACTACTACTACTACTACTACTACTACACTACTACTACTACTACTACTACTACTACTACTACTACTACTACTACTACTACTACTACTACTACTACTACTACTACTACTACTACTACTACTACTACTACTACTACTACTACTACTACTACTACTACTACTACCACTACTACTACTACGACTAACTACTACGACTACTACTACTACTACTACTAACTACTACTACTACTACTTACTACTACTACTACTACTACTATACCAACTACGACTCGACTACTACGACTACTACTACTACTGCTACTGCTGCTACGAAATACGAACTACTAGCTACTACTACTACTACTACTACCACTACTACTACTACTACTACTACTACTACTACTACTACTACTACTACTACTACTACTACTACTACTACTACTACTGCTGCTGCTGCTACTGCTACTATTACTACCGCGACTACTATTGCTACTACAACTACTACTAATACGACTAACTACTACTACTGCTACTGCTACTACTACTATTACTACTGCTACTACTACTACTTCTACTACTACTACTACTACTACTACTACTACTACTACTACTACTACTATTACTACTACTAGTACTACTTCTACTACTCGCCCTACTACTCGTCCTACTACTACTACTACTACTACTACTACTACTACTACTACTACTACTACTACTACTACTACACCTTCTACTGCTACTACGACTAAACTACTACCACTACTCTACTAACTAGTACCACTACTACTACTACTACTACTACTACTACTACTAACTACTATTACTACTACTACTACTACTACCACCAAAATACTACTACTATACTCTACTATACTCTACTACACTATAATTAACTACTACTACTACCACCACCAACACCACCACCACCACCACCACCACTGAAATACCACTACCACTACCACTACCACTACCACTACCACTACACTACCCTACTACTACGATTACTACTACTACTACTACTACTACTACTACTACTACTACTACTACTACTACTAACGACTACTACTACTACTACTACTACTACTACTACTACTACTACTACTACTACTACTACTACTACTACTACTACTACTACTACTACTACTACCAGTACTCCAGCTACTATTGCGGCGTCACCTGGTAGTTTTCCATCCACACCCTCGAACCGCACAGAGAGGAGAGAGGAGATGGAGGGAGACAGAAGATGGGGGCCCCAAGATCCTCGCGTCGCCCACAAAACACAGCCCCAACCTCTGACCCGTTTTCGGACTCAGGGGAATCCTCTGCGGGTCCCGGGTTCATCCAAAACTACCCTGCGACGCACCCAACCCACGCGCATCAAATGGCAAGAGGAGTATGCCAACATTAGCAGGAACAGCGACAGTGTAGACGCGGCGGTTTGCTGTGCAAGCTACATGGGATGCGCATGCGCTGCACGATTCACAGGACGACGATCGAAAGAACGAGGCTTGAGGCCCCAGGATCGAAGAAGAACGGGTACGGGAACGAGGGGTAGGAGAGGAATGGAATGGAAGGCGGGGGGGGGGGGGGGAAAGGCCATCGCGGAAGCGGCAGCAAGCATGGAGAAGGTGAGGCGGGGAATAGGACGACGATGGAAGTGGCGGGAGGAGACAGAAGACTGCCGCGTTTTTCAAGTGCGAGCTAAACCCGCAGCGCTGCCTGCGCCATGTCGTCGCAGAGTTCCACATGATAAAACTAGTTTAGAGCGCAAGGAACGAGCGAGGCGTAGCTCGCCCGCTAGTTTCTCCGCCTCCTTCCCGCGCGCTTCAGCGCGGGAGCTGAACGCTCGCAGGCGCGCCGCCAGGTCTGCGGACGGCCCGCGGGAAAGAAACTCAAGGCCGGGGTCGCGAATCATCAATCGGTTGTCCATCGTCCAAACTTGCACTGGCGACGTACTGGTTGAACTCGGAGCGAGCAGCATCGCGCGCGTGCCTGAACGCCACGCAGGTACAGCGCACGCGCGATTGGGACTTCAGGTCGATCACGCGCGTCTCCACCAGGCTTGGCAACACCGCGCGACTGAGGATCTCACTGCGGTCTGCCATGCTGCTGTCCGCGAATGCAATGCGCTGCCTGCAAGTAAGGCGGCGGCGTCCACTTGTCTCAGAAGATGTCCCCGCGGGCCCGAAGGGCGACCGCCAGCTCGAGCCGCGGCGCCGGCAGGCCAGATAAGGATCATGCAACAGCAAAGACGATGACAGAGCAACGAGGTATCGGCGAGTGCATGACCGGCCTCCGTTTCCTGCACTTCTTTCCTGTAGTTCCCCTAGCTCATCGAGCTCAGCAGATGTTTCTGCGGGTCCGAAGGACGACCGCCAGCTCGAGTCGCAGCGCCGACGAGCTGCATCCACATCAGGCAACACCCCAGGAGACACTGGCACACAACGATTTGACGTCAGTCAGTGCCAGACCACTCCATGTCTAGTTCCTCGCACACATACAGTCGATCGCAGATGCGGGATAATCGAAGTAGAATGACGGGTCCAATCTGCGTCCGCGTAGGACGTCACTATGCTGGACCCCGCAGCAGGTCACGAAAGTGGCGACAGTTTCATGGGCCCCACAGCAGCCCTCGAAAGTGGCGACAGTTTCACAGATCGTAACCCCCCAGCGCTGGCGAGGTCTAATCTGCGTCCCCGTAGGACGTTACTCCGCTGGCCCCCAGCAGCCTTCGAAAGTGGCGACAGTCTCACAGATCGCAGCCCCCCAAGGATGGCGAGGTCGAATCTGTATCCCCGTAGGGCGTCACTCCGCTGGGCCCCCCACGCAGCCTTCGAAAGTGGCGACAGTTTCACAGATCGCGGCCCCCCAGGGATGGCGAGGTCTAACCTGAATCCCCGTAGGACGTCACTCCGCTGGGCCCCCCAGCAGCCCTCGAAAGTGGCGACAGTCTCACAGATCGCAGCCCCCCAGGGATGGCGAGGTCTAATCTGAATCCCCGTAGGGCGTCACTCCGCTGGGCCCCCCAGCAGCCCTCGAAAGTGGCGACAGTTTCACAGATCGCAGCCCCCCAGGGACGGCGAGGTCTAATCTGATCCCCGTAGGGCGTCACTCCGCCGGGCCCCCCAGCACCCCTCGAAAGTGGCGACAGTTTCACAGGTCGCAGCCCCCCAGGGATGGCGAGGTCGAATCTGTATCCCCGTAGGGCGTCACTCCGCTGGGCCCCCCACCAGCCTCGAAAGTGGCGACAGTTTCACAGGTCGCAGCCCCCCAGGGATGGCGAGGTCGAATCTGTATCCCCGTAGGGCGTCACTCCGCTGGGCCCCCCAGCAGGCCTCGAAAAAAAAAAAAATAAACCAAAAAGAAAAAACAAAAAACAAAAAAACAAAAAAAAATAAAAAAAAAAGAGGCACAGTTTCACAAGATCGCAGCCCCCCAGTTGAAGGCGAAAAAAACAAAAAAAAAAGAAAAAGGTAAAAATAATAAAAAAAAAAAAACAAAAGAAAAAATAAGAAACAAAACAAAACAAGAATCAAACAAGGGAAAACAGAAAAAAGAAAATCCTACGCCCCCCCCTCCGCACCGTCTACTCTTACTCACCCGACGGCGGCGTCACTCCGCTGGGCCCCCCAGCAGCCTCGAAAGTGGCGACAGTTTCGCCCCGGGTTCATCAAAAACAAAGAAACTGAGGGAGGACGCGAGGAAGGATGAGAGGGAGCAGGGAGAAGGAAAAGAAAAGGAGAAATCCGCCGATCCGGCGTGTGAGTTCCTGAGAGCGTGGGCTTGAGCTCGCTCAAGCTTCGCTCTGGCGAGGGGGGGGGGGCTGACGCGAGCTGACGCGGGCTGAC